CTTTCAAGTTTTCACTTGTATATTACTTTTAACGCGCCACGGTCCTTACGTGATTCATTCTTTTATCTCTCTATTGTCGGTCGACTCCACTTATGTGCCATGTGAGTAGCAAATCATTGAAACCGTGTTATTTTCACTTTGATGTATCTATTGTATTTTTTATTATAAATATATATAAAAAATATTTAAAAAATTATATTAATTTTAATATTAAATAAATTTAATTAAATAATTAATAAATTAAAAATTAATTTTTATTATTTTAATATAAATTTATAATAAAAAAATATATTAAATACAATTTTAATTTATACATTTAGATACAAATTAAGCAAACTTCTTCATTTTATATTTTTCGTTTCTCGATTATTGGTCGAACCCACATACGTGGCAAGTCGTTGGAATCTGGTCAATTTTGCAATATTATTAAAAAAAAATTGGGGGACGAACTTGCAGGGTAACTTCGCCTTTGACTTGGTTTATTGGACAGGTAAAAAAAATTGGTTTAGAAATATTTTTTTTATTTTTTAATATAATTTTATGTATTATTTAAACAATAAATTTTTTATTTTAAAATTTATAATATTAAATATATATTTATTTAATAATATATATTATATAAAAAATAATAATAAATTACGCTTATATAATCACTCGCCATTAAAAGAGCACATGACGTAAAATTAGTGTGTAAGAGTTTATTTGAGATTGTGAATGTTCTTTAATTAAAACCCACAATGTGTTGTGATGCATATATTTTCTAACGTTGGGCCCCGATGATCGACAACAACCCGACGACCAACAGCCCGTACTCGAGGGAAAGAATGCAAATATCGACCGAATACCGCAAGGTACCCTACGCACGCCACTCGCTTTATATTCTGTTCTGTGGTTCCACCATCCTTCGGTCTGAAAACCACCAACCTTTGGCTTGAAGATTCTAAGTCCATGGAGAATAATAGTGATTTAACTTTCTGTGTTGACAGTGTAGCTGGGGAGCAATGGCAATACCCTATTAGAAGCCGTAGGTGTTTAATTTCTTTATCAATCTCATTATTTATCTTTTGGCTTTTTCGTTTTCTCGGGATATAACAATTTTCCTCAAACAAAGTTTTATATTTAATGGTGAATATTAATTAATTAAGCTCCTACATATTAATTTAGGGGTATTCTTATCTCCTCATTTCCTTTGGATATATATATAATATATATATATATATATATATATATATGTTCCTCTCTCTCTTACAGTATCCTATCTACAGCGTACAGCGACCAAGTTTTACTGGAAGATCATCTGCCAACAAATCTAATTACCAGTGAACAAAATCCCCAGATGATGATGAATCAGACCGCAGCCCAAACACAACCGTCGAGGCAGCGGCAATCAGCTGAACTGACACCTTCGTATTCTCAGTCGAAAAGGAAAATTTCTGAAATTACTGCAGTTGACCCGCGTACCAGCAAAAAAAGAGAGTACGATCGACACTATAGGCAGAGAGTCAAGGTAATGACACCTTGTATGCACTTTACTTTATCATTTTCCTTTTTCTTTTTTCTTTTCGTTTCTGTTGAGTTTTCATATATGAGTACTTACGGTATGTTCAGGAACGAAAAACGCAAAACGAGTCCGATTTGAAGAAAGTTAAGGATGAAAACGCAGAACTAAAGCACAATGTTGAATCACTGGAAAATGACAATCTTTCGTTAAGTCAGAAACTGGATAAGCTCGAAAAAGAAAATGACAATTTGAAGCAGAAACTGGAGAAGAAAAAGGTAAGATTGCCTAAACCTATTTTTAGAACTTGGCAAATTAGAGTACAGGCAAACGGAAATTCAGGAAGCCCTGAAAATAAATTTATAAGGGTGCCCTTTAATAAAACTGTACACCTCAGTAAATCAACCTAATTGCCCTTTCTCTGACCTCTTCCAATGCCAAAACCCTTCTCATCGATCTTTGCTGAGGTGCAGAACAACCCCCTTCTCATCTAACCAGACTACTCTATTAAATCTAAAATTGATAAGTTATTGCTTTGAAATCTTTTATGGTATATATAACTGAATCTAGGTTTTGTGTTTCTAAATAAATTTAGTCTTCAATGTAAAGTTATAAATGTAAGTTCTGAAATATTGTAAGATTTTGGCTTAAAATCAGTCTTTTACTCCAATTTTTGGATTATTTTTTTCAAATCATTTGATTTTACAGATTTTTTTTGGATTCTGCAATTTGGTAAAAACACTATCCCATAAATGCTTTCCTGGTTTTAACTGAGATTTTTTTTGACATTTATCAAACCATAGAATGAAATTAAATTCCATCAATGTTATGGCTGGCGAAGGTGGTGTCTTGAGAAATCAAGAGAAACAATTTATTTTGATATTTTCTGGTTCAATGGGTTTAACAAGGAGAAGATTAAGTTGCTGCAGACAGAAGCCATTATGTAAGGTAGCTTTTGTTTTTGTTTTTTTTTTTTTTTTTGAATAAATCGTCACAGTTGAAGCACACTCATACCAGAGAGTAGTTGATTTAAAAGATTTTGGCAGGCCTGATGAAATGATAACTCGCCTAAAAAGAATGAAAAGCATTTTTGCGTTGGAAGAGGAAAGAAAGGGCAAACAAGTTGATTTATTGAGGTGCACTCTTTCATGAAACGGGCGTCCTAGGAATTTTTTTCCTTTTTTTTTTTCATGGCCTCCTTAATTTCCGTTTGCTGTTAATGTACAAAGTAGCAACATTTACGCTTCTTTTTTTTTTTTTTTAATTTTTTGCCAAAAAATAATACCATGAGGGTTGTGTAGTTCAAGTCCTTCTTCAAAAATACTTTTTAAAAAATGTGTCTAGAAATTCACATTCAAATAAATATTTTTAAAAATTAATTATTAAATTAAAAATTTTATTAATATAAATCATACATATTAATTTTTATATTGATATAATATTTATAATCCTTTAATTAAAAAAATTATATTTATTGAAATATATTTAATAATATTAAATTTTTTATAACTAATGAATTGATAAGATCTCTCAAATCAATTTAAAAATTGATATTTATAATCTATATAAATAAAATTTTATAAATATCAATTTTTAATCTAACAATTAATTTTTAAAAATATTAACTAAAAAAATACATTTTTAGACAAATCATCAAAAAAATTTAAGAGGATGACCTGTAAATACTTTTTTCAAATAATATTGTGGTATATATGTATATGTTCAGGAAAAAATCCGACGACTGGAGAATGAAAATGGAACATTAAGGAATCAGTATATTGAATCCCTGACAGGAAGGAATGCCTTGATGAACCAACACTTCGAAACTCAGTCAAACGAACCAGGCCACCGTCGAAGTGAATTTCACAATATAGGAAAACAGCTTGTAAGTCTCTGCCCATAACTAGAAATTTCCTTTATCCTATTTCTGGAATGCGGGCATGGTCAATTGGTTAGGGTTAGACAAGTATTTGTTAGGGACAAACAAAAATAGCAGATATTTAGTTTGACTGTAAAAATTAATTGATAGTTGTAATGGTTAATTGTTAGTTTATTGAATAATTGATATTTATTATTTAATAATTTAAAATCAACCCATAAACTAACATTTCTAAATACTTTAACCAGTTATAAATTAATAAAATTAGTCAAATTAAATAAATTTATTGTATATCTGTGTACCCATAACAATGGTCACTTAATGCATGCATTTTTTTTTTTTTAACAGTCCATAGATAAATAATATTTTTGGGAGTACATAAAAAATTTTCCATATTTCTGGAAAAATGAATGCATGCATTCTTCTTAGTAACTTATTAGTTTAAAACAAGCAAGCCTCATCGATGCAGATATTACCTAGAACCAGCAACAACTTCACTGGAGGTTTTGGGGTAGAGACAGAAGGACGCTCCATGCACAGCAACGCAGTAGCGCTGTTAAAGGTAAGTAAATGAGATCATAAACTAATTGTAGTTCACTGGTAGTAGTAGAGGGGGATGGGGGGAGCTTGCTTATGGTGTTATTTAATTTGAAAATGATATAATTATAATATCATTTATTATTATAAATTTATAAATTTATATATTATTATATAATTGATTATTTCTATTAAGAAATTTATTTACAAATGTATGTCTTTACTCATTTAATATTATATCACACTCATTTAATAATACATTATAATTATAAATTTATAGTTCTATATGATATTATAATTATAATATTATCGTATTTAATTTCACTCTTAGAGTTACAACAAAATCTCAGTTACTTTGTAGCAATTTTCTTCTGCGTTAATTGATTTCTTTCCATTTTTTAATATACTTCCATTATTTTTATTTAGTTGTCTCACTTAGGACTTGCACAATTATTAAAAAAAAAAATGATGAATAATGCTTGAAATTTCATTTGTTCAGAATAAAAATCTTTCTTCTTCATTACTCTCCATTTTTTTTAGTAGTTTTAGTTTGAATTTTGTAAACTTTCAAACATTAATTTCATATGAAAATTTAACAAAGCAAACAAATGAAAATTAAAATTTTTTCCCTTTATATAATTCTTGTTGAGTAATTTCATTTTTATTAAAAGATTAATTGTTATTTATATATTATATTACATTTTATATAAAATTAATAACTAAAAATTTAAAAAATCAAATTAAAACAACTAAAGTTGAACAAATGTAGTAATATGTTGGAATTATATGGATAAAATTGAAATAAAAGCATTTAATGCACGAGACTACTTATAGTGACTGCACTACTTTTAACCATTAATAGAGTTGCCGGCCCTAATATCAAGATGAATTGCACTTCACTTGTATAAATTTTTAGTTGTTTTAATTTGATTTTTAGTATAAAAAATCAATAATTAAAAAATATGTAAAAATTGTGTAAAAAAGTTGTATGATAAAAATGGTCACTTAATCATTTTTCAAAGTAGAAATAGATTGAACTGGCTTTAGGGAAAATTCCTTAAAAGAATGCGTTAAAAAAATCATCTCAAATTAGGGTAGGTTACAAAAATATTTTTCAAAAAAGCTTTTAAAACTAAAGTTTGTGTTTGGAATTGTTATAAAATATCGAGGTTGTAGGTTTTTTAGTATTATAATATTATAAAAAAATTATATTATCATTTGATAATTATTTTGAAAAAAGCTTTATATATTAATATTATTATAAAATTACAAAAAATAAATTAAAATTAATTTAATTATAATAAATTAACATTTTTCTAAGATGGTATGCGAAAAAACGTTATAAGAAAAGTAACACTAAACGCAACAAAATATTACGCGCCAAAGTATTGAAAGTGGTACATTGTGATACCAAATTTACCCTTCTCCTCAAATAACTGTTTATTTTAATTTTTTTTCTAATCCCCGAATTTTCGACCGCACATTACAAAAATAAATTGTCTCATAAATTCCCAAAAACAGAGGCAATTATTTTTTTAGTATTTTCAAATTCTTGTCTTCACCTTTATTCTAATTGTGTTGTGAATTTGGAGAATGACCATAGATTTTCCCCTAATTTCAATTTTTCTGTTTGAATTCTTCATAAATTTATTAGCTAAATTATATCTTAAGCCCCTGTAGTTTGCAAATTGGTATTCATATATAATGGTTGTGGTGGTATACGATCTTTTTTCATGATTGATTTTTTTAGAAGTTCGTTATTGGCTATAGAAAAAAGATGTTCACTTACAAAGTCAAAGATATATAATCATTCTAATTTGCAGCAATTTTTTTTAACAGCAATTATATTATTAAGAAAAAAAATTGATATACTTTTCAGTTTAACATATTTACAATACTTATTAGTTCAATCATTAAAATTTATAGTTAGAAATTTTTTGCCCTAAATTTAAATTTAAAAACAATAATTTCTTAATAAATATATTGTAAAATGTGTTGAATTAAAATATATATCAATCATTCTCTTATTATTAACTAGTGTAAAAGGGGTAGTCGCTCCTTACCTCCAACGATTTGAATAAATCCACAAGGTGGATTGGGTAGGTTAGATTTAGAAAGTTTAGGGTCAAATTTGCAGTAGGTGATTATGAGTAGGTTAGCTTTAGAGAGTTTAAGGGCAAAATTCAGAGAAAATTCGAGTAGTTTGGGACTATATTGAAACTAACTCTTTTTTTATTTAATGAATTGATCAATGAAGTTTTTTTTTTTTTTTTTGAACAGCAAACATATTATTTATTAATAAACGGAATACAAGGGGACTCCAAACCCATAAACATCAAAAAGTTAACACAAGGTCTTGACACCCAAATGAAGTGTCGACACTATACCCATAACGGAGATTAGACTTGACAATTTTTTACCTAACCCGTTAACCCCCCCATTACCTGTCCATTTAAAATGGGTTAGGGTCATATATTTATGACCCGTGATCTGTTAATGATTCGTTAAGAGAACCCAACGGGTCACGGGTCACGGGTCAATAACGGGTTGACCCATTAGGTTAACAGGTTTAACCCGTTTACCCGTTTAAAAATATAAAATTTTTTAATTTATTATTTATTTATTTTGTTTTCCAATTCCCAATCCCACCTGAACCTCTAATAATTGACTAATATTCCATAATTAACTAATTGATTCTCTTGACTCATCATCTTCTAGAAGTAAAAATAATCTCACTCCACTCATAACTCACCTTCCGACCTTTTCTATTCTTACTTACCCTAATACTCTCGAAGACTCTAACTCTTCAAACTTCAAACTCTTCTCATATTCTTCAACCTTCATAGTTCATACAACCTTTGACTTTCAAGCTTCGACTCCACCTTTTGAGTTACCGTTGCGTCCACTCAGCCTTAAATCTTAGTCTTATTGAGTTACCGTTGCGTCCACTCAGCCTTTTCTTTTTTTCTCCTATAAGTTCGGCAAATGCTCTTTTTGTCACCAACTTTTCTCTCTAAATACTTCAAGGTAAGTTGTTTACTTATTTATGCTTTTTAGTTTTCTTTCCATTCTAAGTAAAAATTTTACTTGATTTTCTCCTTTACTTACTTAGATGCATTCAATTGATTATTTTTTTAAAGCAATGACCAAAACAAATATGTTCCAATGGGGTTTGTGTTTTTTGGTTGACATGCTACTACTACTTCTTCTTTTTTTTTTTTTTGCTATGCTATTGAGATTTATAAGTGTTGTGTTCTTCAATTTGATTAGCATTGTTTTTTGAAGGGAAATAAAGAAGGTGATTCTGAGGAACTATAAATATGTATATATTAAATTAATAAAAAAAATTATTTTTATAAGATGTTGAATTTCTTTTTTAAATCTTTTGAATAATTTT